CTTACCACTTTGCCTAAGGGTATTTTTAAAACTAGTACTAAAAGGCTTAAATGATAACGTGCTGAAATGTTGGCAAATTGTAAGCTGCTGTCTGAGTGAATCCTTTTAAAATGAGTTGACCTTCATCTTGCAAAATGCCGATGAACAAGGCCGTTTTCAATAGCTTCAGCTCTAGTTCTGTATTTTAAACATCTGTGTTAGCATGCAGAAATGTAAAGGAAAAGTAGTTCTTTGCACTTCAGACATTTTAAAGTACATGTGGTACTTTAGTACCAAAGCACATAAAGGATGACGTTTAAAGTAGTTCTTTAAATGTAGACATTTAAAGAAAATCTCCTGTGCTGATAAAGGTGCATAGAGGACAAGTGCCAGAGGCATGTTCATGGGCTGCTGTCTCAAAAGTTTCATACTCTTCAAATAGAAAAGTTAGTGAAAAATCTACATTGCTCTTTAGCAAGAGGACTGTTCTACGTGAAGCAGGCCACTTGAGAATTTAAGGTAGTTCCATCTCTAGTCCAAGAAAGATGACGTGGTGTTCAACATCTGCACACACAGTGCTTTCAAGGCAGGTTTGACAGCAGTCACCAATGAGGTGACTGGCTCAGTGAATTCCTGCGTTGTGGTTTCTAGTTTGTTTTGTAACCCCAGCTTGATTTTTGTGCGTGTGCTCGTCGCTCCTTTTCACCCTGTCTCTCCTGCTTTTTACAGATAATGATGAATAAAGCTGACTCAGGAGATTCCTTAATGCCATGCTACACATCAGTGTTTGAAGTCTGCACAGCTGAGTAACAAACTGTAGTGGAGAATGCAACACGGGGCAGGAGAAGCAAGACTTCAAAAATGAATGTTGATTGTATGAAAGAGGGAAACCATGCCTTTTAAAACTGAAATACCTATACACTTCTCTTGTGTGTACTTGCATATGTGTTCGTTAAATATTAGATGCCCGAAATTAAAAAAAAAAAAAAGAGACAACAACAAAACAAAAAACCCCAAAGCCTGTAATTTCTCCAATTCCAAAAGAAATATAGACAGGAGTACCTGTAGATGTTCTGATACAAAACTGACACCTATTAATGTAAAACAATTCTGCCATATCAACAGTTGGCTGGTATGGTTAAGCAACTGGAAGCATTGCCGTGTTGTGGAAGTCCCCACATCTAGCTGTTCACTTGTGTACTTGAAACAGCCTCCCTGTGTACTTACGTCAAGAAATTTCTTCACTTTTACTGACCCCCGTGGTTGTATTTTAATAGCATCTTAATCTAGTCGTCCAGTTTCGGTATTTCACTTTTTTTCTTAATAAAGAAATTATTGTATTTTGAAGCTGAAGGCTTCTCCCACTTTTTAACCAGTGTCATCTGAAATATCTTACTGGTGTTTCTAAATCAAGGCACACTGGTAATTCAGTCATTGAAATGTCTTGGGGTTTTTGAGATTGTAAAATTAATGGGGAGTGGGAATACTTTTTTCCCCGATATTTTTCTTCCTCTTCCCTTTCCCAACATCCCAAGTAATTAGCTCTTTTGAATTTCAGAATCTGGTTAGTGATAATACAGTATGCTGCTGAATTGAAAGAAGTGCTGTCTTCCCAGTTTGTTTTTAAATTCTGACTGTTACACTCGCTGCTCCAGCAGCCTTGGGGGAGAATTAAATACTGCAGGCATGAGAGCTATGTAACACTTGTCATCTTTGGGCTTATGTTTTGTAGCTTGATTTCCACCACCCTGAAAGAAAAAGCAAGTTTCTTCTGATGCACATTTCCTTGTTCCTCCTGTAAAAGCAGTACCATACAGAGCAGAATTTAGGTATGCTATTGTTTTCCAGTCATCATCTCTGGAACAGCTGTACTGGCTCACCCATATAGTAAGTCTCTTGTTACAAATGTAATGAACTGTCAAACTTCCAACTGCCCTATTGGAGAAAAACAGATTTACTGTTTGGTTTTGGTTTTGGTTTTTTTTTTTTTTTTTCAGCTACAGCTAGTCCCAGCCTAAACCTGTCAAAAGTTTATTTTCCACAAAGTAAAATCAAGTGTGTGTATATATATATATATATTATTTACAGCTGTCAAAATATGTACATGATTTTTGTATAGTTGTTTTACGGTGGTGTTTAATTAAAGTTTTGCCCACAGAAAAGTGTTAGTTTTTTTAAACACATCCAATTCTTAAAGGTAGACCAAACTTACTCTAGTTAAGCTGTATCCTGGCAACCTGTGATCAGAATAAAATTAATAATCATAAATGCCTTTAATATATTTTTTTAATATGTCCTTCTTCACTTGATTAAACACATCTTGCTTCATCTAAAGAGGAAGTATTATCATTGTTGGAAATAGTGCCAGTTCTGTCCTATGCTGCTTGTCTTCTTCCCCTTCTTTTTGTTTTTGGAGTGGGTGGGTGGGTGGTTTGTTGTTTGGGTTGTTTTTTTAACTTCCCACAGGAAACTTTGGGGCTTTTCATGAGGCCTCTTTTCCATTCCCCTTTTCACTGATGAATAATCTCTTCAGAGGGATGGTCCTCATGAGCTACGTTGCCCATGACATTTAGCAAATACACTCTAAAGACTTTAACAAAGAATGAGTCCGCATTATTTCATTCTTTCAGGTTTGCTTTTCAAACCATGCCTTGCCCACCTTTTGGGGGAAGGGAGGGCCCAAAGCCTTTAGATTTAAAAGAATACAGGTTAGCCACGTGGAAAGGAGAAAATGTACCAGCTGGTATATTGTGTGCTCCGTGGTTTTGATACAGTCTTACTGCAGTTGAATTGGGGAGGGGTTAGTTCTTTTTAAATTGAAATCATGGCATTATTGACGTTCTTCTTAGCCAGTGTGCTGGCTTGCTTCTGGTGAGAAAATGGACATAATCTGCAGATTTCAAGCTTTACAGACATAGAGCTTATTATCAATGAATGAATTGACAAAGATGTATAGATTGTGCACAGCTTTTCAAGAACCACCTTCAAACCTACTGCCCAACACTGGATAGCCTTGATACCTTTCAAGAGCTAATACATAACTGACACAGTAAATATGTGTGCTAAAGAAATACTTCTATCTGAAATTTTAGATATTCTTTAAATTGATGCTGAAATTTTAAACTGATGCTATTTATTTTTTAAAATCTATATTTTTAATCTATATATGTTACATTGATGCTTTCTATTTCTATTTAAATCTCTGTTTAAATTGATGCTGAAATTTTAAATCTCTGTTTAAATGGATGCTATAACAACATGAAGGACATGTGAGCAGCACAATTTAGTGGTCTGTATGAATTAGCTGAGCGTTTGGCTTGTATTCATGTTACATCCACTATAAAGAATTTTCTGTTGTAATTCTAGTAGCAAATTAAGATATATAGAATGGTGGGTTTGGCACGAAACACACTCTGTAAACTATTTCATTTTATGTCCCCGTCCTCAGTCTTTCTTCTTGACCCCTTAATCCAACAGTAGTTCAGAGGAGGAATCTTGAAAAAAGAAGGAGGAAAAAAAAAACAAAAAAAAAACAAACAAACAGAAAACCACACCTAAAAACTGCCCCCCCCTAAAAAACCAAACCCGAGGTGCCCGCAGCCTCCCGGCTCCCCCTCCGTGACAACCTCCACGGGCTCCTCGGGGGTTTTGTGAGCGGCACCGGGCAGGAGCCAGACCCGGGGCGGGGGCAGAGCGGGACCCCCCCCCGCTTCCCTCTCGGGGGATGCGGTGCCGTGAGCCCACCCCGAGCCCGGCTGCCTCCAGCCGGTTCCCGAGAGCAGAGCCTAAAGGGGCTTTTGCTCTTCTGTTTGCCGAGCGCCGTTATTTGGAGTTACAAGGGGAAGGTACTTCGGGAAAACGCATCGGCTGCCTGGGCAGCGCGAACCGAAGCGGCTCGCGGACGCCTGTGTGGTCCGGTCAGCAAACAGCTGGTTGAACCAGCGTCCCAGCGTACACGTGGCCGTGCCCTTGAGGCATCTGCCGCATTTATCGATGCCGTGTGTCAGCTTTCAGCGCCTCCGTCTCCCTCGCGCTCTGTGCGGAAACGCGCATTTATTCAAAACACGCAGTCGCTTTCGTTCCGAAGCTTTACAGCCTTGCCTAACTACTGTTGAAAACGTACACGATACTGTCGTGAGGCTGTTCTTTTTTTTTTTTTTTTTTTTCCCACGATTGTTTGGAGGGGAAACGACACCCTTTCAGGACTCTGACAGCCTTAGAGGCCGGCGCCGACCCGTGAGCCGCCCGGGCCAGCCCTGAGCAGCGACAGCCCAGAGCCCGCCTGGGGCTGCCGGGCCGCCGCGCCACCGCCAGGTGGCAGCAGAACGCCGGGGGGCGTGGCCCGGGGGCGTGGCCCGGGGGCGGGGGCGTGGCCCGGGGGCGGAGGGCGTGGCCCGGGGGCGGGGGGCGTGGCCCGGGGGCGGGGCTGGCAGCGGGTGCCAGCCCCTGCGGGAGGTGGCCCCTGGCGTGGGGACGTGGGGGGGCTACCCGGCCCACTCCACGTGGCGTGCCAAACGGCGAGTCGGGGTCGGCGTGGCAACGGCGGAGCTCCGCGGGCTTCTCAGCGTTCCCCTGTGCCTGGCCACGTTCTGAACACCCGACACGTAAACGCAAATCTCCGGACGCTTACTAAGCGTTGTTATTCACCAACAATTTACGAATCAAAAACGTAGAGAGACACATAGAACCTACTCAAGCCTTTAGCTAGAGCTCAGTTTCCCAGCTCCTATCAGCCGTGCAGCCCTTGCACCCCCTTTTCCTGGGGACAGGGCCGTGGCACAGTATGCCCAGGTTCCCCAAACGACTATACGTAAATTGAACTAAAATATGACACTTTCAGCCCGGTTATGACGCTGTGTAGGGGTGGACTCCCCATCAGTCCTCTCCCTGGGTAGGGCAGAAGTGTGCCCCTGGCTAAGTCACTGGTTTGGCTTTTGCCTCTCCACTAAACGCGCCTCACCAAGGCTCAAATGAACCTCGCCTTTACTTAACTTCATTGACTGTGAGAAACCAAAGAGAAATAGCAACACTTGATTTTTTTAATCCTTTTAAACATTTATCTTCCCAATTAACTGTGTGCTTTCTCAAACCTTATTTTAACACTTGTTCATTCATGAGCCATGTAGACTAAAATTTAGCATAAAATAGAAACCAGCAGTCACCGTTCCTAGACCATTTTGCTATTTTTATCACGGTAGTTGAGATGGAGCAATCTGCAGATCTTAAGTACTAGTTTTAAAATCCATAAAGCGCTTCTTCCTTTAAATTAAATTTGTGTGTTAATGCAATATGCACTTCAGATGCATTTCCCAGTTGATGTGCTTTCCAGCTGAGCTGATGAGTTCATCAATTCAGATGGTATAACTTTGAACGGTTGGCTTGTGCAAGAGTCTTAAAAACATATCTTCAGCAACTAAAAACTTAACTGAGCTGCTTCTGTAAAGATAGATTTGTAGTTACTTGTGAGACATATATAGGAGTTCGGCTGCTCCTGCTAATTTGTTTGTCGTGAGCACCTCTGATCTGGTGCACTCTCCCAGGTTTCATTTCCGAGACATTTTTAAACCAACACGGGATTTAGCTAATTCCGTTAGCTCTCCTTTTAACAATACAGTTTAAAAGCTCACAGAGCCAAAGACCCGGAGAGCTTTTTCACTGCCCAACAAGAGCCCGTACCAGGCGGGGTGCACGGTGGGAAAACCCCCGCGGGGCAGCATTTGCTTCGTTCCAGGATGGCTGTGACGGTTCCTCCGCAAGTCATCCCTGAGGTTGACTGTATCAAGTGTGAGGCCGGGGCGCCGCACGAGTCCCCTCTGCTTGGCTGGTGGCTGCTCCCTCGGGGACTGTAGTCAGCCAGGAGAGAATACGGCTCGGTTTTAAATAGCGCTGTGGCTCAAGCTCAAGCAGGCGTGCTCTGAGGAAAATGGGATGGGAATCAGGTCCTTGACATACCCCTAACTGTTGCTGTGTCCTGCAGCAGACAGTCCTGGCAGTAATCCCTTCTCCAGGGGAAGGGATGAGGTATGCATTTTTGCCGTATCTTCAAGATAGGATCAAATTGCCCCGGATTCAAATTTTAGGCAAGAACTCTGCAGTTCTGGCTCTCTTAATACAACTTTTGATCTCAAGCAATACTTCAGGGATGCAATTTTTTCCTTCTGTCGCCTTCCCCATCAGCAGCCGAGAGGTCTCACTGCTGTTTGTTCTACTGCTGCTAGAACTATTTAAAATGGTATCAGAGTAGTTTTGCACAAGTAAGGTACACAGCCTTTTTCTGAACAAATTATTCATTTGATGGGGATACAGAGAAGACAGAACACCTGAGATGCCATTAATGACGAGCTAGAGCTGTGTCTCCTGTGGAGCTATCCCAACACGACCACTGCTCAAAGGGTCAGTCAGTCTCCTTTTTACAAACTGCTGTAGCTGTTGGACTTCCTCTAAACTGTTCCCTCCTCTGTATTAAGCTGTAACAGCTCTTGATAAAGATGTTTCTAGGGCAGTAATAAAATGCATCTAATTTGCCACGATTGTGGTGCGCCTAGCTGATCCTTTCCCACCGACACTGGCTTTGATAACTCACACAGCAGTTTGGAGTAGTTTAGTCTTGTTCTTCAAACTTTGTAAGAGGAAATCAAAAGGTGAAGATTGTGGCAGTTGAGCTTCTCAGTAAATTTGGACTTAACACTGGACATACTTTTATGCCTTTTTGATTCTAAGAAATATTAGCGTGTTTTATTTTCCTGCGCTTAATAGTTTTAACACCTTATTTAGTAGATCTGTATTTTACTGTTAGTAAACATATACGGAGAATTATTTCCACAGCAGTAAAACATCTCTAATGTGATTTTTAGCTATTAATAATATAGCATTTGTTTTCAGCTGTTGAAAAGCCTGATTGCACTGAACTGTATATCCTGTCCCACTGGGGACTTTAGTACATCAGTTAAAGATCACGGTGTCCTGAATGACTTAACCCCCTGTATTCACTTACTTCGCTGCAGTGTCTCCTTTCCTCGGATCACCGCTTGCTTTCTCTACACTGGGCAATCTTGTTTGTCTGGGAGGAGACTCCAGCAAATTCTGACTCTGACAGGCAGCGGAGTTAAGCATTGCCAGCTGGGAAAGGGAGCACAGTTCAGTCCTGGCCTGTGACCTTTGCCAACCACGCAGCGATACTACAGTAACTAGTCTGCTCAGATCAGTAGCAATTCATTTTCCACCGTACATACCAGTATCTAGCCATACATACAATAGCAAAGCATGGGTGAGCACGGTCGTAAGGCCTCCCTCCTCCCTGCAAAACTTAAAGCTTGAGTCAAATCCCACTGTGATCTGTTAAGACGCTCCTGTTCTCAGCAGTCTGTTGTATTCTACGTGCACATCTGCAGAACTACGATCTCATCGGCATCATGGGGTGGTGGGGTGGCTCCTGTGACTGGGAGGCTGGAACGGAAGGGTACGGGCTCTTTAGGAAGGGCAGGCAGGGGAGATGAGGAGTGGGGGTCACCCTCTACGTCAGTGACCAGCTGGAGCGCATGGAGCCCTGCCTGGGGATGGGTGAGGGACCAACGGAGAGCTTGTGGGTCAGGATTAGGGGGAGGGCAGGAACAGGAGATGGTACAGTGAAGGTCTGCTACAGGCCACCTGACCAGGAAGACCAAGAGGATGAAGCCCTCTGTAGATAAATAGGAGCAGCCTCACGTTCACAAGCCCTGCTCCTCATGGGGGACTTCAACCACCTTGCTATCTGTTGGAGGGACGACAGTGCAATGCGTAAGCAGTCCGGGAGGTTCCTGGAGTGCACTGTCAATGACTTCCTTCTCCAAACGACGGAGCAGTCAGTGAGGAGAGGTGCTGTGCTGGACCTCGCTCTCACCAACAAGGAGGGGCTGGTGGGGAGCGTGAAGCTCAAGGGCAGCCCTGGCTGCAGCGACCATGAAATGGGGGAGTTCAAGATCCTTAGGGCAGCGAGGAGGGCGCACAGCAAGCTCGCTACCCCGGACTGCAGGAGAGCAGCCTTTGGCCTCCTCAGGGATCTGCTTGGCAGAGTAGCATGGGATAAAGTCCTGGAGAGAAGAGGGGCCCAAGAAAGCTGGTTGGTATTCAAGGACCACCTCCTCCAAGCTCAGGAGCGATGCATCCCAACAAAGAGGAAGTCAGACAAGAATGCCAGGAGGGCTGCATGGATGAACAAGCTGCTTCTGGACACAAAAACAAGGAGCTCCAAACACAAAAGGAAGCCTACAGAGGGTGGAAGCAAGGGCACGTAGCCTGGGAGGAATCCAGAGAAACCATCTGAGCAGTCAGGGATCAGGTTAGGAAGGCCAAAGCCCTGATAGAATTAAATCTGGCCAGGGGAGTCAAGGGCAACAAAAAAAGCTTCCATAGGTACAGCGGTGATAAAAGGAAGACAAGGGAAATGTGGGCCCTCTCCAGAAGGAAAAGGGAGACTTGGTCACCAAGGCCATGGAGAGGGCTGAGGCACTCAATGACTTTTTTGCCTTAGTCTTTACCTGCAAGGGCTCCAGCCACACCGCCCAAGATGCAGAAGGCAAAGGCAGGGACTGGGAGAATGAAGAACTGCCTGCTGCAGGAGAAGAGCAGGTTCGGGAGCATCTAAGGAACCTGAGGGTGCACAAGTCCATGAGACCTGCTGAGATGCATCTGAGGGTCCTGAAGGAACTGGCAGATGAAATGGCTAAGCCACTATCCATCTTATTTGAGAAGTTGTGGCACTATGGTGAAGTTCCTGCTGACTGGAAAAGGGAAAACATAACCCCCATGTTTAAAAAGGGAAATAAAGAGGACCTGGGGAGCTACAGGCCAGTCAGCCTCATCTCTGTGCCTGGGAGGATCATGCAGCAGATCATCCTGGAAACTATGCTAGAGCACATGGAAAATAAGGAGGTGATTGGTGACAGCCAACATGGCTTCACTGAGGGCAAATCAGGCCTGACGAATTTGGCGGCCTTCTATGATGGGTTTACAGCACTAGTGAATAAGGGAAGGGCAACTGATGTCATCTACCCGGACTTGTGCAAAGCATCTGACACTGTCCTGCATGACATCCTTGTCTCTGGATTGGAGAGACATGGGTTTGATGTGTGGACCACTCGGTGGATGAGGAGTTGGCTGGATGGTTGCACTCAAAGAGTTGCAGTCAACGGGTCGATGTCCAGATGGAGAGCAGTGATGAGTGGCGTCCCTCAGGGGTCAGTGTTGAGACCTGTGTTGTTGTTGGCGACATGGACAGTGTGATCGAGTGCACCCTCAGCAAGTTTTCTGACAACACCAAGCTATGTGGTGCATTTGACACGCTGGAGGGCAGGGGTGGCATCCAGAGGGGCCTGGGCAGGCTGGAGAGGGGGGCCCATGTGAACCTCATGGAGTTCAACAAGGCCAAGTGCAAGGTCCTGCCTGGGGGTCGGGGTAATCCCAAGCACAAATACAGGCTGGGTGAGGAGTGGATGGAGAGCAGCCCTGCAGGGAAGCACCTGGGGGTATCAGTGGATGGAAAACTGACTGTGTGCCAGCAGTGTGTGCTCACAGCCCAGAAAGCCACCCGTGTCCTGGGCTGCAGCAAGAGCAGCGTGGCCAGCAGGGCCAGGGAGGGGATTCTCCCCCTTTAGTCCATTGTCATGAGACCCCACCTGCAGTACCCTGTTCAGCTCTGGGGCCCCCAACAGCAGAATGACACGGAGCTGCTTGAGCAGGTCCAGAGGAGGGACACAAAGATGCTGGGGGGGCTGGAGCAGCTCCCTGATGAGGCCAGGCTGAGAGAGTTGGGGGGGTTCAGCCTGGAGAAGAGAAGGCTCCGGGGAGCCCTTCGAGCAGCCTCCCAGAGCTTAAAGGGGGGACAGGGAAAGTGGGGAGGGACTCTGGATCAGGGGGTGTGGGGATAGGATGAGCACTAACAGCCTTAAACTGAAAGAAGGCAGATTTAGACTAGATATTAGGAAGTAATCCTTCCCTGTGATAGCGGTGAGGCGCTGGCCCAGGGTGCCCAGAGCAGCTGTGGGTGCCCCCTCCCTGGAAGGGCTCAAGGCCAGGTTGGACGGGGCTGGGAGCCCCCTGGGCTGGGGGAAGGGGGCCCTGCCCGGGGCAGGGGGTGGGAACTAGATGGTATTTAAGGTCCTTTCCAACCCAAACCATTCTGTGACTGATTCTATGATTCTTTCCTTCTGCTGATGATTATCAGGACCAGCAGAATGAAATGTGCACCCACCCTCCTGCCTCAGCACAAAGCATAGCGTTGTTGATTAAACTGCTGAGAAAAAGGGTTTGAGCCAAGTCAGCAGACTCTGAGCTGCAGTTGGTGAGGATATGAACACATCTTCCATTCTGCTTATTCTGCCACAATGAAAACAGTCTCCATCAGAAGGATGGTTTATAGCAGATGGAGCTGTAACTTAAACCGCTTCATAATAGTTCCTAAAGCTCATCTGTCAAGGATGGTGCAAGACTGTGCAGTGTTAGTAAGAGAAATTTATGTATGAACATACAATGTGAAATAGGCCTGCTGAGGAGCAGAAGCTGCGTAGTGTATAATGTTTATCTTGCATTAATCAAGTTGTAATGTACTTATTGAACACTCTTTTTGTTTTCACTTACTGGCAAAACTTCCCACCGATGTTTTATTCTACCTTACAGAAGTTAAAAATATGAGAAATGTATCACTGAAATAGATTGAAAAATCTAGTAATTGTGAAATTGCTCGTTCTCTCATATGATAAACCACGGGTGCTTGTTAGAGGGATCACAGTAATCCGTAGTATGAAAGAGGTCAGATCCCTTCCTACAGTCACTAGCTTTAACAAAGCTGTCCAATACCTCAATTCAGGTATTTTCAGGTTAAATTCAGAGGCCTTGCAAACAATGTCTCTCCCGCCCCTCCGTCCTGCATTTCTGTATAAGTGGTGTCTGAAAAATATGCTGCTCGCTCACAGCTACACTGATGTTCATTGAAACTGTAGGTACCTCATTTCTGGAAATCAAACCCTGATGCTTTTTCAGCCTCAGGGAACTGTATTTCCTTGCCATAGGATAACAGAGAGGTCAGAAGGCTTTATGATCCTTGGACAGAAGACTGTGTAGAATAATAGAATGAACTGGGGAAAAAAAAAAAAAAAAAAAAAAGTGCTGAAAGCATCTGGGAATTTTTTGTGCATACTAGACAATATATTCTATATGCTCACTTTCTGTGACTAAGCCCACTGTTACCAAGGCCTAGAATTAGCCAAATAAAACAGCAGGGAAGCCTTCTCTGTGTTTCTTCCCTCCACTTCTCACTAACTTTTTCACATTCACTCACTCCCTCTTCTAATGGAAGCTGGGGGAAAAGTGCCGAGTACAGCAATAATGACATGAAGAAAAACACTGAAGGAAGCAGCAGGGAGGCCAAGGTTTCAACCACTCTCACCCCCTTGCCCAGGAAAATTTCAGTGACCTCTTGACACCTCCCATGGGAAACTTTAAATTGACAAGAGTATTTGCCAAGTAAATACAAAAAATGGCATTAAAATAGTATTGTTCCTGACTTAATCCTCCTAAAGTCAGTGCAAGTGAGTTAGGGTTCCCGCAGCAGCTATAATGCACTAACCTCATTCGAGATGGCAGCGTATGTGGATGTGTATCAGAACTGATTAAAAAACACTTCCACGTCCTCACTAGTATTCACTTGGGAAACTGAAAATAAAAATGCCAGAAATGAAGTTACAGCTTGTGCCCGGATTACCCTGGCATTTTGGTTAAAACTACTATGTTTCATGTTGTGCAACACTATCTGGAGTCAAAACATCGTTAGTTTGTCCTATGAAAACAAAAGGGGGAAGGCATTTCAAGTTCATTATACCCTGATTGTTTATTCTGCCATGTTTTTGCTGGAGGAAGTTACTCAAGAAGTATTGTTAGGACCCTTGGAATATATTCTGGCTTTATTACCTTCCAGTTGCCAATTTTTCTTCTGCAATCTCGTGATCAGGAATGGAGGGATATTAGAGTACACCGTATCTCAAGCGCCTCCATACAGTTTCTCCCCACACCTGGAGAATGCATCTGCTACCCTGCAACACTTGCTGGGCATTACTCTGATTCTGCTCATTAACAATATGCCAGGAGACTGGAAATCT